GAATATTTAATTGATTGATATTTTACAATTTCATTTTCATTTTATTTAATAAATGAAATATAAATAATAAATGAATGAATAATAATTTAATATATGAAATAATAAAAAGAAATAAAAGATAAATAATAAAGAAATATGATGTATTTAATATATAATATAATTTATTATCAAATATATTATTAATATCAAATGATGAATTATTTTTATTTCAAAATATTTTGCATCCATAAAATATGTTGCTAAATATTTTGCATCATTAATTTTTGCATCATTAATTTTTGCATCATTAAATTTTGCGCTTTTTTTATTTGTTATAATAAAATTTGAATCCTTGATTTTTTCTTTCTTTTCTTCTTTTATCATCTCTTTTCTTTTATTACACTTTATCTTCTTTCTTTTTATATTCTCTCCTTTCTACTTTTATTCTTTCTTCATCATATCAAACTTTTTACTTTCTTTTTATTCTTTTATATCTTTCTTTATCTTCTTTTTCAATTATTTGCTTTTTTTTCGTTGCCTAGATGGGACTAGTGTAATAAGTCCTGAAAGTCCATCAAGTGATGAAAAAAGTAAAGAAGGAACAGGAAGTATAAAATCAGGTCAACAAACATCGACAAATGAACTGCCTCATACAACTGCACCAAATACACAAACAAACACGAACGAAGATAGTCAAGCAGAAAGAAAAGATCCAATAAGTACATCAACAACCACAACAAAAGACATAACCAAACTATCAAATGGAGCTGATACATTATCGAGTGGAATAAGTGGGAAAGAACAAGGAACAACAGATACAACACAATAAACAGAAAGTGGGGCAGGCAAACAAGAACATGATGGAGTAATAACCGAAACAGAAAAACAGCAAGACAAGAAGGAAAAAGGAACAAGTGGAACAGAACAAAGTGTTAAAGTTGAAGATTCAAAAGACAAGAAAGGTCAAGACCTAACACAGAATTGAGGCACTGGAGTTAGTGGACATGAGGAAGAAGATGGATCAACAAAAGTTAGAGATAAAAATCAGAAAAGTGGAATAGAAGGAAGTTCAGAAGGTAAAGGAAGTGAGGAGAATAAAGACAATAAAGATGGAACAATACCAACAACAGATGGAAAAGTTGGACAAGCAGAAGATGGAAAAATTACACAACCAGATGGACAAAGTGGAAAAACATCAGAAGGAAAAGAACACTATACAAATGAAGGTCAAGGAGGAAAAATACTAATGAAACAGGAAAACACGATAATACAAAGAATAAGTCAGATCAAAAAATACCAAAAATTCCAGAAGACAACATGGATAATAACATTAACCGTATTACAAATAGTGAATCTGAAATCAAATAGACAATGAATCAAACAATCAAAACATGAGTATTGATAACGCTTCAAATATATTCATTATTCTCTCAACTGTTATTGGAATTTTGTTATTTTAATTGATTTTATTTGTGATAATGTTCTATTAAGATGACATGACAATACAATTAAAAGGTAATAATATCAATTATTTGAATCATTTTCATTTAATCTGATGTAGACAATTAAATAATATAAATGAATCAAATTAAAAATGATTAATAAAAATTCAATGAAACAAAACATAAAATAAAGAAAGCATTTATGATTTAATAAAATTGAAAATTATTTTATTTAGTTAGTGGTAATTAAAAAATATTTGAGTTATTTTCAAAAAAAAAAATATTTACATAATTAATAAATGAGTAATAAAACATCAAAATTAGTTTATTTCATGAGTTAAATCTATCTATTTATTTTTGAATTAATAATATTATATTAATTAATGAATAGAAAATTGACATTGATATTGTAAAAGAAGTTAAAAATTTTGTCATTAAAAACATGACAAATGTCATTGAACATTGTTGAGATCACAATCAAAAATACTTTGTAGAGATTATAGAAGAATATTCATGAATGAGAATATTGTCAAATGAACAAAGAAGAATAGAAACAATTCTATTAATACTTAATTCATTATTTTTATTATCTTTTGTGTTAAACCAAAATAAATGAATAAGAAAATGAGAACTGAAGAAATCAAAGGTAACAAAGAAGAAAATAAAAGAAAGTAAAAGAAGGATAAAGAAATTATTATATTATGAATTATATGATAATATGACAATCAACCAACAATTAATTAATAATAAAACGGTAATAAATAAATTAAATAATAAGAAAATAATAATAAATGACAAAAAACGACAAATGAGTAAAATGAAAAAAGAATGAATAGAAAGAAGTTCAAAAAAGTAGATAAATAAGAATAATAAAAACAAAAATTGAATAAAAAGATAATAATATCTAATACAATAAAGAAATAAAAAGAAAATACAAATTATTGAAATAAAATAAGAAATTAATAAGAATATAAAAGATATATAAAGAAATGAAATACAGAAAGAAGAAAAATACCATTAATGAATATTATATTGTGTTTAATATAAACGTGATAACATGAAAGATATAATAAATGTTAATCTATCTTATTAATAAAATTAGAAATAAAAACAAAGATGTTTAACTAGAAGAATAAAAGTGTAATGATGATCCTATGAATAATAAATGTACATTATGTCCTATCAATGTTTTTATAATTATTCAAATAATTATCTGATTCACTATCTGAACTATCAGAAATTCTTGTATTTTTATTATCTATTCTATTATTTCTATTTTTTGTTCATTTTGTTGTTTATTTTTTTCTTTATTTAAACTATTTTTATAATTTAATTGTTATTTTCATCATCTGACTCTTTGTTTTTTTCTATTTGCATTTTAATTGTTATTTTCATATTGTTTATTATGTTCTTGTTCTTTATCTTGTTATTTTTTGTTTATGTTTCTTTTACTTTTATATCTTATTTATTCCCTTAATTTGTTTCTTGTATTTGTTGTGTTGTTGTGTTTTTTTTTTGAATTTCCATTATAGGTTTCTGTTGTTGATAGTTTTTTAGTTTCTGTGAATATCCTTCTTGTTATTCTTATTGTTCATATTTTTTTGAAGTATTTTCTTATGGTGGTTGTTTTGTTGTTTGTTTTTCATTATGTTGTGATGTGTTTCATGTGTTGATGTCGGGTATTATTGTTGTGTTTTTTTCTTTTTCTGTTGTTATTTGACACTAATTTTCTTCTTATTCTGTTGTTCTCCGTTGTTTTGTTTCTGAATGTTCTTGTTGTAATGTTTGTCTTTTCTTGCTGACAATTTCTTTGGTGTTGTTTTTGTTTCTGTGTTATTACATTTTCTTCTTTAGATAACCCTTTAAATATTGTTTATACAAATTGTGTATTCTTTTATGTTTATTTGAATATATTTATGTGTATATTACTTCTTTATTCTTTATTGTTAATACTTTCTGTTGCACTTATTATTACAATAATCAATATAAATATGATCATTTGATGATTTGTAACACCCTTCTTCTCTTAAATATACTTTTATTCTTTTTCATTCTATTGAGTTTATATATGACAAATAGCAATTACAGTTCAAATTAAATGAATGAGTCAATTCAATATTAAATTAAAACCAAATTCATTTTTGTACTTCAAAATGAATAAATATTAAATTTAATAAAATAAATCACAGTCATAATGTGAAACTATTCACAATTTTAATTCACAACACAAACCATTATATTATAAGAATGTGTTTATTATTAGTTATATTCATCAGTATTAATTATTTATTATACAACGTATATAATTAATGTTACAAAAAAGTATTAAAAGTCAATAACAACAGAATGAAATTTCATATCAACAAAGAAATTTAACTGATGAAGAATTGATGTGAATATTCATTATCTGTATTAATAGAAATACAATAATATCACAATAACAATTGTCATAAAACTTATTACAATAAGATTTGTTTCTTTCACTTTCTTGTCACACGTATTTATTATCAGTTCTAATAAATATAATACACAAAAAATAAAATAACAATGAAACTATAAAGAAAATCAAAATAAAGAAGATAATAAGAAAATATATGAACTAAATTTCAAATGGGAATTACAACAATGTGAATTTCAATTAGTATAAAAATAAACAATGTTAATATTTTACAGAATTAATTCTAATAACACACTATAACATTAATAAAACAATAAAATTATAATAGAAATGAATTTATATTGAAATAAAATATGTTAAATCAATACAATAATCAACACCCGATATTTATATTATCTAATTGTTGGTATATTTATTATTTATTGAATTTTATATTCATTTATTTTAAATAATTATAATTTAATATTTTATTTAATTTATTTTATTCTTGTAATATAAAACACAAAGACTTATACTATCTCCATTATATTATATTTATTA